GATGCTTTAGCTCTCTAAATTTGAAGAGTCAAACTCACTCTCTATTTTAAAAAAGTTAAAATAGAGTCTCTTGGAACTCATTTTCAAGCATCGACTCTCTAAAATAAAGATTATTTTGTATTTAGAGAATCTCTTAGAAGTGTTCTTACGAGAAAAATGGGGAAAAGAAAGAAGTAAATACTAAGGGCATGTTCTCTTTACCATTTTGAAGTCGTTTTCTGTTTTCGATTTTTCAAAACAGTGAAAATGCGTTCTCTTTCCAATTTTCAAAAACGCATTTTTGAAAACAAATTAAAAATTTATAAAGAAAATCCAAAAACGACAAATTTGTCGTTTTTAGTGTTTTTAGTTATAATCGAGCCAAAATTTTCAAAACGCATTTTGGGTGTTTTTAAAACAATTTTTCAAAATATCAAAAAGATCACATTTTCAACAATCTCAAAATTGACACTCAAAACGCAAAACTCAAAATATAAAACTGAAACACAAAGAGAACAACCTCTAAGTGGAAAGGAGAAGGGGGTTTTTGACATCGAGTCCAAAGGGTTTTCATTAGTGATATTTTGAGAGAGTAGTTGCATGTTCCATTCATTAACTAAAAGTAACAACACAGACATCTGAAGATTCTTAATTCCCAATGTTGCTTAGTTGGAACGAGCAATGAAATCTATCAACAACTCATCCTTCTTTCAAGTCGATTGCATTATGCCAGTCGCTTTCTCTGTCCGCTTGCTCCTGACAAAATATGTAGCAAATCGCTTGGAAAAATCTTAGAAGGCTCGAATGGATTTTGGTAGCAAGGTAGCCACCCAGTCTCGTCCCTCACGTCTAAGGGTCAGTAGAAATGCCCTGCACTTCCTTCAATCTCTGTTTACAACCCGAGAGCTGCATCTTTCCTGGTAGCATCAATTAGTTTAGCATTGTTGCATTTATCACCCGAGACAAACCCACTCTGCAACAAAAATTTGTTTAGTAAAATAACGCAAACGTACGAGATTATTGACAAATAATAATGTAGTGAGAAAGAGTATAATCCCACGAGAAATAAACTTTAAATTGGATTGTATTAAATCGTTAGCAAACTCGAATGTAACGTAATAAAATAGATTATTTGTTTATCCATCCAAGTTTTCTATTAATTATCTCTTTCAAGATAAGCCGAACATATTTTAAGCACGATCCAATCATAATCCTATTCCGAATTGCATTAATTCTCACGATAATATATATGAGTGCACACGTCATTACTCATAACATTTATTGTAGTGTGTTGAAATTGTAATTAAAATTCTAAATTTATCATAAACCTCCCGAAACTCTAATAAGCAACTAATTATCTAAATGGTGCGCAAATATTTAAATAATACAACAAAGCATACAAGATCAATCAAGAACACAAATGCATTAAATTACTTGGTTTTTGAATTAAAGAGAAGCAATAATAAGGTTCATTTTCATTCCAACAAAAATAAATAAATAAAAAGAAAATTTCTAATATGTTTATAATGATAAACAATGAGGATAATGGAAAATCATCACCTGAAATATGTCTGAATACAAGAAATATGTGGAACACAATTTCTTGTTCTTGATCTTTAACTCCGAGATTTGATTCTTCAAGTTCTTGATATGGTTTGCCTTAGATTCCTTGTTAAATTTGATCTTCTTTCCAAAATATTGTGAATTGGTCCATTGTTCTTGAAAGATTTTATAATGTGAATTGAATAGAGAGATTAGAGAAATAGATCTTCAATGGCTGCTCTTGATCTATGCTTAAAGAGGTTGACATTAGATCGAGAAACACGTCAAAAATCCTTTCCATGTAGAGTTTTCACACTCAAATGACTCAATTTCTATCCTTTGGCTTTTAATCTCACCCAATTGATTCCGTATGATTTTCAATTAACTTCTCTTGGTCCGAATTAACTTTTGAATTTTTGTAATTTGGTCTCTAAAATCACTTTTCATTCATTTCTTTCAAATTCATTTCCAATTATCGAGTTTTACTTACCAGACAACGTATATAAAAGATAAAGTTATAATTTTAAATTACTTGGTTTTTGAATTAAAAATAAGCAATAAATAAGGTTCATTTTCATCCCAACAAAAATAAAGAAATAAAAAGAAATTTTCTAATATGTTTATAATGATAAACAATGAGGATAATGGAAAATAATCACCTGAAATATGTCTGAATACAAGAAATATGTGGAAACAATTTCTTGTTCTTGATCTTTAACTCCGAGATTTGATTCTTCAAGTTCTTGATATGGTTTGCCTTAGATTCCTTGTTAAATTTGATCTTCTTTCCAAAATATTGTGAATTGGTCCATTGTTCTTGAAAGGTTTTATAATGTGAATTGAATTGAGAGATTAGAGAAATAGATCTTCAATGGCTACTCTTGATCTATGCTTAAAGAGGTTGACATTAGATCGAGAAACACGTCAAAAATCCTTTCCATGTAGAGTTTTCACACTCAATTTCTATCCTTTGCCTTTTAATCTCACCCAATTGATTCTGTAGGATTTTCAATTAACTTCTCTTGGTCCGAATTAACTTTTGAATTTTTGTAATTTGGTCTCTAAACTTTGAAAATCATCACTTTTCATTCATTTCTTTCAAATTCACTTCCAATTATCGAGTTTTACTTACCAGACAATGTATATAAAAGATAAAGTTATAATTCATCAAAAATATTCTTAAATGTCTATATTTAACTATCGATAGATGATCCATAGGATCAGATGACCCGTTATATGTCTCCATCATAGGTTGTTTGAAACCAGCTTGCAATGAAAGAGCCATCACTTCAGGAGCGAAAAAATCCTCCTCCAATCTCTGTTCACAACCTGTGAGCTGCATCCTCGTTCGTGGCAGTGGCCCCATAGGTTGAAATTTCGAAGTAGAGGTGGAACTTATCTTAATATTGAAAATTATCCGTAGCCCAAGTTTCATTCACATTCTTTTCAAAATTCTTTCTTTCAATACTCATTTTTAATCATGCATTCTTTAATAAAATAATATTATATGTAAATCCAAAACTTTTCCTTATTATTTAACCACATATTTTCCATCACGTTACATCATAAAATGCATTTTCTTCTCAATCAAGGACAGATCCATGACCGTTACATAAAAAAATTCAATGGGCTGGGGGCGGGACCCGGCTACAGCCCAGTCCAGCCCCCTAGATCCGTCAGTGTTCTCAATAATGTACATCAAATACTCCCGTATTTTATTGTTATTACGTTTTAAATAAACCATGGAAATATTATTTAATATAAGCGAGTAGCAGCTTTGCCTAATAAATAAATATAGTTGATAAGTAAAATTTACGCGTAGCCCTTTTTGAAAATAGCATGGAAATTTCTGTTTATTTTAGTCATTACTTTCCAGAAATTTCCTTGTGAGTGACAAGAAATTTCCCACTAATTGCATGAAACATATGTAGTCCAAAAAAATCTCACGACATTTATGAGCATAGGTTGTAGCATAGGATGTTGTTTAATGTTAGTAGTTCAAATTACCATTTCTAGTTCCGCGAAATTATTCCGCGTCGACCCCTATTTGACACGGCTTTAAACAGAGGAAAAAAGGCGCGCGCAAGAGTTATAGAGCACAATCGTAAAAATGTTGTACATTTGAGGTCTAACTAATGTCATTTATTTTTAAGATTTGCTTTGAGTAATTGTAAGGAAGTGTAAGAGAGGAAAAGTAGAGGAAATTTTACGGGGACCGGACAAAGAATGGAAAGAAATAACGAAAATGATAACTAGGAAAATGCTTGTAATTGAAGTCTTGTTGACATGTACTTTGGCATGATAAACAAGCCGTAGGACAGAAAAAGAAGATTGGAGAATACGGAGAAACTTTTTATCTACCGCTTGAGTCACATTAAAATTTTTATCCTCATTTTTCTAATTATTTTCTGCTAAATGAAAGGTAAAATTAAATGACTTATTTAATTTCACCTATCATTTAATGCCACATTAGCGCCACATAGACTGTGTTTTCATCCCCAGTGGGGATGAATATCATTACTCTTTTTTTCAATCACATATTCTTCATCAATCTATTATTCAAAATATATTCTTTCAAAATAATGTGACTCAAACACACCCTTAATACAGATAAAGAGAACGAGACGTGCTTTTCAATAATTAAAAAAAAAGGTCAAATCATTTTTTTCTTTATTGCACAAATTGTGTATTAGTTTTTTTTTTTAATTCGAAATTCAGTCGTCTGTTTGAGTCCAATTTTTGCTCAAAATGCATTTTGAAATAATATTTTGATGGAGAATGTGTAGTTAAAAAATAATGAAAAAATTTGAATTTATGTTTAATATTATTTTAGGGTACCGCTATTTATATCCACAGTTTTTTTATATTATTCTCACTTTATATCCATCCCTATTAAAATATTAAAAATTTTAAAAAAATATTATTTTTATCTACGTCAAATTTCAATATTATCCTTATTAAATTTCATTCACTTAAACATTATAGATCCATACAAATTTTATATGTTTGTTTCTTTTGTAACGTAAGAATATTTGGAGAGTGTTGAAATTTATTTTAAAATTTCTTGTATACTTTCATCCGCCGTACTACTACTTATACAAAGCAAAAAAAATAGGATTCCATTTTCCATATCATGAAAAGATTATGACTAAAATATAGTGTTGATTTTTTTTTTTTATAATTTTTATAATTTCAATTGCATAAGGTATTTTATGATTAGTAGGGTTTTATAATTTTAATTGAAGATGATATTCTATTATTATTAGAATTCTAGTTAAATACAAACTTTAAACGTATATTGTAGGTAAATAACAATATTCTTATTTTATTGAAGTATGTACGAATAAAAATAAAATAAAAAATTATTTTTAAAATAGAAAACACAACGAAAAAAGGTGAGACGTGTGAGAATTGAGGAGGTGAAGTCAATTTATAATCGAACTTTGCCCTCCTCGTATACCCACAGCTCAAAGGAAAATATGGGAAACGCTTTGCAGACACTCCCCGACAGTAGTAACGAAACCCAACAATCCCAAGATCAACAAGAAGATCAAAATCAGGAAATCCCAGACGATGATAATCAAGCCTTCACATGCGAAATCTGCATCGAGCCGATGATATTACCCGACAGAAAATTCAAGAATAAGAACAAATGCAGCCACCCTTTTTGTACCGATTGCATTATCAAGTACATCCAAGTGAAGCTCAGGGATGATAACGTGGGAAACATCAAATGCCCGGCTATGAATTGCAATCAGTTCTTGGACCCAATTTCGTGTCGGTCGGTAATTGGTTTATCGCTTTTTGTAAAGTGGTGCGATGTGCTTTGCGAATCTGTTATTCTGGGAGTGGATAGGAGTTATTGTCCTTACACGAATTGTAATGCTCTGATCGTGAACGAGTGTGGTGGGAATTTGAAGAAATCCAAGTGTCCCAGTTGTAAGAACTGGTTTTGCTTTCAGTGTAAGAGGGTTTGGCATGCTGGGTTTGGGTGTGAAGAAAGTGGGGAATTGAGGGACAGGAACGATGTTGCATTTGGGAGACTTGTGGAGCAGAAGAAGTGGGTAAGGTGCCCCCGGTGCCGACATTTTGTCGAACTCACTGAGGGCTGCCGAATTATCAAATGCAGGTAAAACTTTAATTCTATTTGTGTGTTTCTTAATTGGTTTTCTATATATGCGTTTTACGTGTTTGTGAAAATGTCTTAATGAATATTGGGGGTATAAAGTGGAGTTTGCTTCTTTTCTTAGAGATAAGTAGGGGAAAGTGAATTTGGGTTTTTGGAATAATTTTAGCTGTGGTAAGTGAATTTTATAGTTCCAACTGCAGTGAGAATGTATTAGAAGTCAAATTTTTTTTGGGAATTTTGGATTATTCCATGGAACCTGAATAAAATAAGTGGCTCTACATATTGTGTATCAAATACAGACAAATAAGTGTCTGCGGTTGATTAGTATGGCTGCTTATTGTTTCTTTTAAGTGTATTTGGTTGAAAACAAAACAACTATAAAAACTAAGCCTTAGGGTCCGTTTGATAGCAACGAATTCCATCGAGAATGTCACATCCAAGGAAACGAATTCAACTTTCACCATTTGATTGCAACGTGGAAGTAAAAATCGAATTCCAAGGTACAAGCACTTTAACATGCATTTTTTTTGTTTTCATGGAAAACGAATTCCTATGAGTTTGTTGAATTTTTATTTTTCAACTAACATGGAATTAGAATTCATTTCCACCTTGCCTATCAAACGGACCCTTGTTGTCAATAAATTTGCGGTTGAAAAATATTTGAAAAGAAAAGATATTAACCCGTAAACATGAAATTCATGCAATGACTCTTCTGAAGGCTTCTCATTCCTTATGGACTTGAACCTTAAGTTGCCTCATTTGGCTGCCTAGTCATTAATAAGTGCCACGCCCTTCTTTCAATAGTTAGGGCCTGTTTGATAAGGCTTTTGAAATGTCAAAAGTTGCTTCTGAGATTAAGCAGCTTCTTTTGAACATGTTTAGATAACTTTTTAGCAGCTTTGTCGGGTTAGAAGAGCAAATTGGATTTTGCTGAATTTGATTTCATAACTCAGCCGACAATTGAATCAGTTCCAAGTACCCGTAAAGGAGTATCATTGGTTGTTGAAACGTAAAACTATTACCTTATCGTTAAAGAGAATATAATAAAGATGAATGAGACGGACAATAAACCTTGCTGTATCAAAATATTATTCTTATGTTTGGCTACTGGCTTGATTGGTTTGATTTTTTAACCCATTAGAGAACCAAATCAGTAGTATTTATGTTCTCTTAGATTCTTTATCTACTAACAGCTAAACGTGCAAAGACATGCATTCACTCACAGAGTCTTTACCTTCTACTTCTTGTTCTTTACATGATTATTAGTCCTATCATCGTCGATTGATTGCTTTTATCTCAATACTTCTGACTTTGAGATGATTTGAAAGGGACACTAAACAGGTTTAAATCCGAGAATGTGTTTTACTTTATCACGAAACATACAAAATATTGAAGAGAATATTTATATTCTGGGGGTGTGGTTTTGAATGCAGGTGCAGCATTAATTTCTGCTACAAGTGTGGAAAACAAGTTCATCAACACTGGTGTCGCTGTGACACGACTTCTATGTGCTGCGTGTGGTGCTTCCGAATTTTCATAGTTCTTATTTTTTTGATATTCGGGCTCTTGTTCTTGATCTGGGATGCTGACAAACGAACAAACCGTAATGGGTAGTATATATTATGCATACGATTCGATAGAAATATGGAAAAATTTAACAGGTTCTTTTGTATAGCGTGGTGACGGAATGCATAGAACATGGGGGAGAAATTTGTATCTTAAGCACGACTTCTCTTTCCTTTTCTTTTAGTATTTATTCTTGCTGAATGTTTTCAAGTTCTGCCCTTTTATATAGCAACATTTTACACGAGGTTCCCATTTGCACTGACTTGTGTATATGATGCTTCTGACTTGCAGAAGAGAAAAAACGAAGTGTGTGTGTGTGTGGCTGACTGTTGTCTTTAATGAACAACGTTATTTTATGTTTATTCTCTGCGTTTATTTCCATGAGATGAATGATTTTTGTTTCCTTTTTCAATATTGAGCCATTTGAACTGTTCATTTATTTTTAACCATTTAAAGATAAATGGTTGATTTTCAGAAAAATGAAACTTCGCGTGAGAAGGAGAACTCAGTTTTTATTTAAACTTCGACCTCTTCGAATGCCCACAAAATTCAGCTCGCATTAAAATGGGTAACCAGGGGCAGAGCTGAGAATATTTTTCAGTGCGGGCACAATCTAATGCCGAATTTTGAGTTTTTCACCATGAATTTAATGATTATAAAAATATAAAATAATATTACGACAATATTAAAAATGAAATAACATTATTCTGTAAAAAAAGATCATGAAGAAGTTCGATATAAGCAAATCATCTAGCAGTTGGCAGCAACATGCTTCTCAAGAACTGAGGCCTGGGATTTGTATATGGAGCATTCTTTGACATCACAGTTTTCCTCTCCATGCCTTCTTTCCTAGGGAAATCGCCAACCATCACTGCAATGTTGACTCCATAGCTTGCTTCAACAGCATAAGTTGTTGCAACGACACCTGATTTAAATAGCATAGTAGATGATACAAGTTATCCACATTTAACCCATATTCCATTTGGCATAAAAATGTCAAAATACATGAAACTATCGACAAATATTTTCACTACTCTAAAGTAAATTACTAACCTTTGAGAAGAGGGAGTGCAGTATTAGCCAATTCCATCTTCACTCCATTAAGTGCTTCAGTAGCAGGAGGACTATCTAGCATGTGGAAGATGACGGATTGGTCAACGCCCAACATCACACCCCTAGCAATCATAGGAGCAAAAGCATACCCAACTTGTCCTGCAAAATTAGCAAGTTTCAATCAATCTAGTTCTAGAGAATATATATAGATTTAAAGTCCAAAAAACAGTACTTTGGGCAAATTAAATATTTTGTTTCAGACACTTGAACAAAAAAACTACCGACACTCAAGCATATAATAGAACTCCCTCCGTTTCCTGGAATGTTGCTTAATTTGACTATGATCATTTTTTCAGATAAGCTACTGGCTTTTAGAACATTTTCAGTTTTTTGTTTGCAACATAATTCAACAATGTATGCGATTGAGTGGAAAGATTCAAGATTAAAGAAAGTTCCCTCAACAATTCACATCATCCAATTACTGGAAGCAATTCAACACAGAATCACAAATACTAGAAGCAAAAGAAAAGCAATTCACATGTCAATTCACATGGCAAACGGAGCAATTCACAGAGGCAGTAATACTAGAAGCAAAAGTATTGTTAGAATTTGTGAAAATGATTATCAATTCAAAAACATTATCAAACCCTAATCACATGCATAAAGATACTCCATATTGAAATCAAAGAGGAGATTAAAAGCGAAAGCATACCTTGATCCATGTGTATCCGCTTGCTTGAACGGGTTATGATCTTCCATTACCACTTGTAGGGATTTGTGAAAAGGATTATCAACCAAAAACAATATCAAACCCTAATCACATGCATAAATATACTTCATATTGAAATCAAAGAGAAGATTAAAAGTGGAGGCATACCTTGATCCATGTGTCTGATTGCTTGAACGGGTTATGATCTTCCAATTGATATATAGTCTCCTTCTGAATTTTCTCTTCGTTGACAGGGATGTAGAGATATGAAAAATCACGTTCAATTGGGAACCATGACCCCATGAGATAATAACTGTATATGCAGTTATTATCTTTTAGTTCTTTCAAATTGGCCCCTCATCAATTTAAAATAACCGTTCTGGTCTCTACACTTTAATTCCATTACATTTAATACCATTTAGTCTAAAATCAGCTGTAATAGATCACTTTATTGACTTATCTTTAAAAAATAGCACTACACATTTTAATATAAATACATGTGTGGCCCCATATTCTGGAATTTTTCCAACAATATCTCACTGAGCCTACATGTAATCTTACAAATGTGCACAACCTTGTGAGCTCGAAATTATGCTATCATTATTATGGGTATTTTCAAATAATCTTGTCCATCAGTGATATTGATATAGGATCAAAGAGATTTTCGTCACATTTAGTATGACTAAATCCATCAATGATCACATACACCCATACAACCAAATGACATAGATAAATCATAAGAGTGCAACATGACAATTACATGTTATATGATCCAAATATATCTATTTTCAACTGGTCATACTTTATTCCTTAACGCTTTATGAGATTAAACCAAAACTTTAATCAGAGTGAAAACTGAATTGAATACTTTATTTCTGAAATAAATTGAATATCCATGGATAAAAAATGTGTCTAAAATAGACAACATCCAAAAACAAACTCCCACTAGACTGACATATCATCAAAAGATGCAACACCCATATGAGTATTATGCTCATGAAAGACTTTGGGTGGTAGGCATTTAGTAAATTGATCTATGATTATGGAGTTTGTCCTAATATGCTTTATAGAAATCTGACAACTCTGAATTCTTTCTTTGACAACTAGGAACTTAATGTCTATAAACTTTGACATCATCAAGTTCTTGTTGAAATACATGACTGCTATTGTCAAAATGGTCTTTCAAATCCATCCAAAATATGCAGCCTAATGACAATATTTTGCAGTCATATTCCATAATCAGAATCAGAATATCCAATGATCTCCAATTGGTCTGATTTTCCTTAATGTGATCATGTAATCCTTAGTTCTCTAGAGATACCGAATAACCTAATGATTGCTTTCCAAATTTCCATCTCAGAGTTAATTAAATATATGCCTAGCATTCCAACAGTGAATGCTATATCCGGATGGGTGCAAACCTGAGTATATATTAAATTCTCAACTACTGAAGCATAGAGAATTTTCTGAATTTTCTTTTCTTTAAATTTATCATTGGGCATTAATTGAGACTAAACTTGTCTCCCTTAGCAGCAGGGGTATCACCTGGTTTGCATCCTGCATCTCAAATCTTTTAAGTACTTTATCGATATAGCTCTTTTGTGGTAATCCAAGAATACCCCGAGACCGATCTCGATGTATCTGAATCCCTAATACAAAAGAGGCATCACAAGATCTTTCATCTCAAAATTCTTTGATAGAAATCTCTTGGTTTCGTGCAATAAGCCTATATCATTGCATGCAAGTAGTATGTCATCAACATACAATACTAATAATATATACTTACTCCCACTAAACATGTTGTATACAGAATCATCAACCACATTTATCTCAAAATCAAATGATATGATTATTTGATGAAATTTGTGATATCATTGACGAGAAGCCTGCTTAAGCTATAGAAGAATTTCTTTAATTTGCAAACCATTTTCTTTGAGTCTCTTGACACAAAATTTTTCGGTTGCACCATATAAATCGTCTCATCAATGTCACCATTAAGAAATGCTGTCTTTACATCCATCTGATGTAGCTCAAGGATAAAATTGCCACAAGTGCCATTATAATCTTGAAGGAGTCTTTCGTTGAAATTGAAGAGAAATTATCTTTGTAATCGATATCTTCTTTTTAAGTAAAGCCCTTTACAACAAGACGAGCATTATATCTTTCCACATTACCCTTCAAATCCCTCTTAGTTTTATATATCTATTTGCAACCAATGAGTTTCGTACCTTCAGGTAATCGAACAAGTTCTCAAAAGTCATTGTCTTTCATGGACTTTATTTCCTCATCCATATTATCAATCCACTTTTGAGAATTTACTTTTCATTGCTTGATGAAAGTTGATAGAATCTTCTTCCATCAATCAAATGTCATTCTCATGTTCTTGGAGAAATATTATAAAGTCATCAGGAATTGCATTTCTCTTTTCTCTAGTGGACCTCCTTAATGGCATTTGTTCTTGAGATTATTGAGTTTGTTCTTTTCGAACAATCTCTTGATTGTGTATGAGGGATTTTGCAATATTATCTTGATCTGAAATTACTTATTGTACAAGATCTGGAGTAAGAATTTGTCCATGAACCTGATCATTGCCAATTGCATCAGAAGAAATATATACATATTCTTCATCCAAGATAAAATCATTAACCTTATAACCTTATATTCCCCCCTCTCCCGCAAACTCTACTTCCTCAAGGAATCGAACATTTCCGATTTCGAAAATTGACCTAATAGTGGGATCTTTAAAAAAAATTGTAACCCCTTAACAATTGCTTTACTTGAAACTTTGTTGAGAATTTAAGTTGCAGCCTTTAGTGTTTTTATATAGAGAGATTCTGCTGTACTGTGGGACGATTCCACATTTCTCTAAAAATTTAGTAACAGTCCCTGAACGTTATTCTCCTGATCTGTCATATATGTCATTGTATTCACCACTATGATAAGATTTAACTTGTTAAATCTTTTATTGAGTTGATTTTCAAAATCAGTTTTGTATGCCTTGAACATGTCCAGTGTATGAGATTTCTCATGAATGGGGTACAGGTAACCATAACAGGAATAATCGTCTATTAAAGTAATAAATTACCGTTGACCATTCCAAGAAGTCGAAGGAAATGGTCCACAGATATCCGTATGAATTAGTTCTAAGACGTCTGAAGTCATATTGGCACCTAATCTCCTTATGTTTGTTTGTTTTTGTTTAATGCAATTTACACAAATACTTAAGTCTGAAAAATCAAGGGAATCAAGAATTCATTCTGACACAAGTTTTGCAATTCTCTTCTGAGAAATGTGACCTAAACGCTTGTGTCATAATGATGCGGAATTTTCATTGGTTAATTTACGTTGAATACCTCATGAATTCATATACAAGGTTTCTTTATAAGAAGCAACTGTATTAAGCAAATATAGGTTATCGTAACCGGATAAAGAACGGGTACCCACAATATTTGAATTAAAAAAAAGATCAAACTGACTATTTCCAATTGAATAAGAGTAACCAAATTTATCCAATATAGAAATAGAAACCAAATTTCGTCCAAAAGGACGGTACCACAAATGTCTCTTTCAAATCCAAATAATAATCAGTTTTTAATGATAATCTAAAATACCTATAGCCTCAACTTTAACTGATTTACTATCGCCCCACGTAGATGAATCTTTCAGCATTAATTGATTTTGGCAGCTCAGGCAACCTCGCATGGACTGATGGACACACTTATGTGAGTAATGGTACCGAAATTTATCCACCAAGTGTGTCTAAGTATTGACACTAAATTTACCTTAAAACAAACCAAAGTGAAAATGTACTTTTCTTTACACACCAAGCGTGATATTCAATACAGTCTTTCTTTATATATCCCAATTTTCACAAAAGTTACAGCAAAATTTATTTTACTGTTTATTTTGAACCGAATCGGATCCAGCTTTCTTATTCTTTATTACTTGTCCTTAGAGGTACTTGCCAAGTGAGTAATATCAATTTATCTTACTTTAGCATTTCTTCTTCTTCTATACAATATGGAATGAGCTCATTAAGAGTCTACTTTCCCTTTAACAGATGTAACTGACCTTAATTAACCGAATTGTGCAAGAATAGAAATCAAAATTAAATGCTCAAACTTTAGTGCTTTTAATTTTGAAGCAATATTAGACATCTCCATGATGTATTCCAAAATATTTCATTTACCTTTATACCTTAGTGAAACTAAGTTCTCGAAAAGTGTACTAGTTTCAACTTTATCGCTCTTTGTAAAGCGTTTTTCAATTTTAGCAAGAAATTCATTGGCAGTAGTTACCCTTATCGGATACAGCGCCCCTAAATGATTCTGGAATACAACGCTTCATGATCATAAGACTCATGCGGTTTAAACGATCTCACTTATCAAAGTCCCTTTTTTATTAGGGGAAGTTTTATCCGTAAG